GAGGAGGGGGAGGAGGACAAGCTAGGTGCGCTCGCGTCATATCTGACATCCTACCCCTCCCTCCCATCCCTTACCATGGCGTAGATCCCCTCTCTACTCGCACAGTGGGATGTTGAGCAGGGCAATGATCCCGAAAGGGTACGCGATGCATTGTAGAGCACGGCGTGGCATGGCGTAGAAGAGCACCGCAAAGCGTAGTATGTCACAGCATGGCGTGGCGTGCCGTAGTGAAGAATTGCATCACAAAGCTTTGCACCGCAAAGCATGGCATCGCACTGCGGCCCCGAACATAACATTGCATAGCATGGCGTTGAAGGTCAAAGCGTAGCATGGCATAGCACGACGTGGCACTTAAGCACTGCATATCACAGCTTCAGCTGAAGGCATGGCATCGCGCAGCGGAACGCAACCTAGCATTGCATTGCATGCCGTGGCATGGCACGGGAAATGACGCCAGCACTGCAGCGGGAGCACGATTCGGAACGAGCGGAAGCGCGGAAATGAGGCCAGCGCTGCAGCGGGAGCACGATTCGGAACGAGCGGAAGCATGGAAATGAGGCCAGCGCTGCAGCGGGAGCACGATTCGGAACGAGCGGGACCCGAAAATGAGGCCAGCGCCTCAGCGAGAGCAGCATGTTGAAAACAAATGCAGGCGAAAACCCAACTCCTGGGAATCCTGTGTGTAAAAAACAGTACGCGGGGCGGGGGCGAACACTCCCAACCCGTCCGTCATCAGGGGAAGGAGGAGAGTAGTATTCATATTGAGTAATTGTGGAGGTTGACGAGGAAGAGGAGGAGGAGGAGGAGGAGGAGGAGGAGGAGGAGGAGGAGGCCTACCCCCCTCCTCCTCCTGCATCGCGCTCCGCGCGTCGCGGTCTTCGTCGGCCTCGTCGGCGTCTGGTTTTCGGGCGTCCTCGTCTGCCCCCGGTGGCTTCCCTGCCGGCTGCTGCGCCTGCCCGAGGGGCGTTCCTGGGGGCTGCCCGGGCCGTCCCGAGCCGCCGCGGGAGGGCCGAGCTCAGGAGGGGAAAAAACACACAGACACAATTAATCGTCGATTCCCAAGAAAAAATGGGAAAATATGGGAAGTGGGGGGGAAGACAAAAAACCCGAAAATATAGGAAAATATGGGGAATATTTTGATTTGTGTGTATTTATTTGTGTGTCCTGGGGCCCCTTCACGAGCGGTGACCCGATGTAACCACCAGGGGATGGCTCGGAGGGGGGAGGCATCGACCTGCCACTGCCCACTGATCGCCGCCAGGGGGCCTCTTGGGAGCGAGGACCCTGAGCGGGAGCAGAGCCGTCGGCATCCTCCGGCCTTTCCCCCTCCGCCTTCTCCGCCGTCCCGTGCCCGACACCCCCCCTCTCACTCCTCCACCCAGCTCGGGCTCGCCCGAAGAGGGGACGGGAGTGGGCGCGCGGAAAGCCTGACGATGATGATAACGATAATGATGTTGATGATGATGATGATGATGATGATGATGATGATGATGATGATGATGATGATGATGATGGTGATGGTGATGGTGATGGTGATTATGATGATGATGATGATGATGATGATGATGATGATGATGATGATGATGATGATTATGCTGCTGATGATGGTGGTGATGATGATGATGACGATGCTGATGATGACGATGACGATGACGATGACGATGACGATGATGATGATGATAATGATGATGATGATGATGATGATGATGATGATGATGATGATGATGATGATGATGATGATGATGATGACCGTGGTGGTTGTGATTATGGTGATGATGATGATGCTGATTATGATTATGAGTGTGATCATGATGATGATGATGCTGCTGACGATGGTGATGATGATGATGATGCTGCTGATGGATATGATGATGCTGATGGTGACGATGATGATGATGTTTATGATGATGGTGATGATGATGGTGATGGTGATGATAATGACGATGCTGATGATGATGGTGGTGGATGTGTTGCTGGTGGTGGTGATGATGCTGATGGCGGTGGTGTTGATGGCGAAGGTGATGATGGTGTGTATGTTCATGCTTATGATGTTGGTTATGATGATGATGCTGATGCTCATGATGGCGATGATGATGGTGGTGATGAGGATGGTGGTGATTGTGATGACGGTGCTGGTGGTGGTGGTCAGGTGATGGTGATGGTTGTGATGATGGTGTTGGTGGTGATGGTGGTGATGATGATGACGATGATGATGGTGGCGATGGTGATGATGATGATGATGATGATGATGATGATGATGATGATGGTTATGGTGATGGTGATGGTGATGGTGATGGTGATGGTGATGGTGATGGTGATGGTGATGGTGATGGTGATGGTGGTGATGCGTATGATGCTGTTCATGTCGATGGGGATGGTGGCGGTGATGGTCATGATGGCGGTGATGGTGACGAGGAGGTGGAGAAGGAGGGTGAGGAGGAGGAGGAGGAGGAGGAGGAGGTCCTCTTTAAGAGGAGGAGGGGGAGGAGGAGGAGGAGGAGGGAGGAGGAGGAGGAGGAGGAGGAGGGGGAGGAGGAGAGGAGGAGGAGGAGAATTGGTCGAGAACTGGTCGACTTGAGCCTCTCCCACGGCTTGCCTGCGGCAGGGGCCCGCGGACGCTCGCGCAGGACGCGCCCGCCGGGATGCGCCTGGCCCTGTCGCTGCACGCCCCCACCCAAGGAGCGGGCCGAACGAAGACGATGACGATGACGATGACGATGACGATGACGATGATGATGATTAAGGTGATAATGATGATGATGCTGATTATGATTATGAGTGTGATCATGATGATGATGGTGATGATGATGATGATGATGGTGATGATGATGATGATGATGATGATGATGCTGATGATGATGATGATGATGATGATGATGATGATGATGATGATGATGATGATGATGATGATGATGATGATGCTGCTGCTGCTGCTGTTGCTGCTGCTGATAGGGCCGAACGAAGGGGGGGGGATAGGGAAAGCGGGGGTTACGAAATCTGCTGCATGCAGCTGGTTTCGGCCCCGCCGCCGGGCCCATTCTCGAACCCCCCTTTGCTGATTCTCAAGCCCATCCCCCCCGTTCGCCCGGCCCGAAAGGACTGCGCGAGCAGCTGATGCCGAAGCCCGCGAAGGCATGGCCGCTGGAGGGGCTCCTGCGCGCGGTCCGAGGGTTCCAGGAGGCGACGGGCACCGGCGTGCTGCTGGAGTACATCGGAGCGGCTGTCGCAGGGCCCTTGGACGCAGGGGAGGCAAAGAGACCTCCAGTCGGGCGAGACTAGGACAGCAGCTATCGGCCACGCGGCTAGGACAGATATCGGGCGAAGGGAACTATGCACATGCACCGATCCTGGCAGGGCCCATCCTTGACCCAGGATCGGTGCATATACCTTCCTAGCCAAGGTAGGAGGGCGTATGCACCGATCCTGGGCTCAGGATGGGCCTGGCCAGAATCGGTGTATGTGCATAGTTCTCTTTCCTCTAAGATACTTGCTTTTAGGGGCCGAATTTCGTGACATAAGTTTCGGCTGACTCGGCAGCCGAGGGCGGATGCACAGAATTTTCTGCTTGGTGGAGTCTTCTTCCCATCAGTTGGGAAGCCGGCAGTCTTCATCATTCTAGGAGAAAAAAAAGGAGGCAAAGAGACCGATACCGCTACCCTGATCTCGTCGCTGTTGTTGGATTCTTCTCGGAATCCGAATTGGCACGCACCTCTGGAGAGGTCTGGGGAGCGGTATCAGTACCTGCTTGATCCCCTACGAAAAGCGAGGGCCTCTTGTGACGTTGGAAAGGGCGAAGAGAAGGAAGACGGCGACGACGAGAGAGGACGAGGACGATGTAGAGGAGGAGGAGGAGGAGGAGGAGGACATCTGCCCTGGCGATCGCAGAGTCTCCGAACAGCAAATTGTTGGGGAAGGGGAGGTTAGCGGAGGAGGACGAGAAGGAGGACTTCTCCGCGTCGTCCTCTTTGTATCCTTCTCCTCCTGATTCGCCTCCTCCTCCTCCTGCATACCACTACGAAATACGAGCCGCTGCTCTCGCCGCGATGCGGTGTTAGAGCGCTGGCAGTAGCTGGATCACCGTGGATTCAAGCTACGTTCGCTTCTCCTCTCTGATCCTCCGCATCCCAGTCTCTCCCGCCCTGCCCACTTTCCGGGAAGGCCCCCGGGCCGTGAGGCCAAGGGGGGGTCCGGCGGCTCTTGATACGAGGTATCAACGATGGTGAGGACCACGCCTCCGAGCTGGCGCAGTTGCTGTCCCGGGAGGACGTCACGGGGGACGCATGATGATGATGATGATGATGATGATGGTGATGGTGATGGTGATGGTGATGGTGATGGTGATGATGATGATGATGATGATGATGATGACGATGATGGTGTTGAAGATGATGATGATGATGATGATGATGATGATGATGATGATGATGATGATGATGATGATGATGTTGATGATGATGATGATGTTGATGATGTTGATGATGATCATGATCATGCTCATGATCATGATGATGCTGTGATGTGCTGATGATGATGATGGTGATGACGATGCTGATGATGAGGATGAAGGATCAGGGTAAGGATGAGGATAAAGGTAAGGATGAGGATCAGGATCATGATGACAATAAAGAGACTGAGGATGGTGATGATGATGATGATGATGACGATGGTGACGAAGATGATGGTGATGATGATGAAGATGATGATGATGATGATGATGACGACGATGATGATGCTGGTGATGCTGATGGTGTTGATGATGATAATGGTGGTGATGATGCTTATGTTGCTGCTGGCGATGATAATGATGATGATGGTGATGATGATGCTACTGATGTTAATGCTGATGCTGATGCCCATGCTGAGGCTGATGCTGATGCTGGCGCTGGTGCTGGTGGTTGGTGGTGGTGGTGATCAGGAGGAGGAGGAGGAGGAGGATTACAGCGAGCGTCTACAGAGCAAGTCACGTGGAAGCAGAGATGAGGAGGAAGAGGAGGGGAGAAGGAGTGTTACAGCGCGCGTGAACTTCGCACGTCACAGAGGACCAGGAAGGAGGAGGAGGAGGAGGAGAATCAGAGGAGGAGGATGGGGAGGAGGAGGAGGAGGAGGAGGAGGAGGAGGAGGAGGAGGAGGGAGAGGAGGAGGAGGAGGAGAAGGAGAAGGAGAAGGAGGAGGACCAGAGTTAACCCGAGATGCATGAGCGATGCTGCATTACACCATCCACCACAAAGTCCCCTCCGCACAAGTCCCTGTCTCAAGAACGGCTTGAGCCAGAGCCCGATCCGAACGAGAGCCTCCTGATCAAGGCGGGAGTTGCTTGGATCTTGCTTCATTGTTGATCTGGGCGGGGATGGTGGAGGAGAAGATCCCAGCCAGGAGGGCGGACCGTCCCGCTGTCCCGGCTAAACTTGACGGCGGGATGGTGCGGTCTCGTGCCAGGCGTATTGCAATTCGCGACACATTGCTCATTTCTAAGAATTCGAAAGTCCTTTGATTTTTTGGGGGCCAAGATCTTTTCACTTCGAATTGTTCTATCCTGGGCCTCTTCCTGGCCACCAGGGGGCCAGGAACAATTAGAAACGAGCACAATTCGAAATGAGCACGATTAGAAATGAACGACGTGTACTTCCTCCCTCCGTCCCCTTTCCTTACGAGGACTCGTCCCTGTCGCATCCCAGACGTGTTGGCGCCGCGCACACTCGGTTGAAACAGCGTGCAGCAGATGCAAGAATGCGGGGCGGCTCTCTTCCCGGGGCTCACGCCTGAGCGCCACACACACACACACTCGCTTAAAAGCTTGCGACAGTTTCAAGGATAGAGGGCGGCCAGCTTGCAAAATGGGGCCCACCGCCGTAGCGCCGCACAAACTCGCCCCAAAAGCTCCGGGTTTCACCATAAAAGGCGGGTGGTCTGATTTTTGGGGGGGTCTGCTTGGAGCTGTCTTGGAGGTTTCGGGGGGTCTGGAGAAAAGGCCGCCTTTTCATGGCTGGTCTGGGGGGGGGGTCTAGAATTCTCGTCCGGAGGGGTTTTGACCCCCTCCCCTTTATTACGAAATTCGGGCGCTTCGGCCTGTTTGTCAAAGTGGGGAGGAGGTCTCCAACGAGCGCCCGAGTTCGAGAAGTGTCTAGATTTTTGCAAATTGCTATTTTTCTGCTCAGGGGGTTCTTCTGATGGTTTTTAGAAGATAGTTCGAGCTACAGGCTACTCTCAGAGCAGCCGCTGCTCCTGCTCGAGGCCTGGGATCTGCCAGCGCGGAAGGCCCACGTTTGTTAAACGTTTGATAAACGGGCCTGACCTGAGGAACGATCAAGAAGGAACGAAGCCCTTTTTGTCCAAGTACGTCTAGGAAGTCCGAAGGAACACCAGGGGAACTCGCCGCCAAAAAGGTAGCGGAACGCATGCAAACCAAAGGAACGGCCGAGCCCCTTTTGAAAAGTAAGTGTTTCTTATTAAAGCCAGACCCTGCAAGCGGAGACCAGCAGCTCGCATACGTCCGGGGCTCAAGGGACGGGGGCCAATGCTAACTCAGAGGAGGAAAAGGTACCCATACCTCTACCGTCCCCTCGCTTCCCCCTTTTTGGGCCTCCTGGGCCTCCGTCGTCACCGCCGGATTCGCCTCGAAATCCGGTTCAGAACGCACCCCAGGAGAGGTCCAGGGAGTAGCGGTATTGGTACCTTGTGGTCTCCCTACTGACGGGAGTCAGCCAGAGCCCCGGATCTAGCAAGATCTTGCAGAGCCAGGAGCACACTGATCCGGGCTGAGGCGCAGTATCCTGCAGGATCTGCACCGTTTGTTCCGACGCGCGGCCTCACGTCTAGAGGAGGGCGTCTCGGCCGCCAGGGCAAGCACCGCCTCCGACGCAAGGTTCGCCGCGGGTCTTGCTGCGGTGCCGATTTCGTATGCCTGGGCGCGTTCAGAGCCAACCGCGCGGCGACATGTGGTACGGCTTCATTGATGGAGGGCGGCTCCTTTTCAAAATTGCGCTTTCACTTGAGACTCCCTCTGCGCCCACGAGCAGAAGGTAGCCGTTGTGCAAGAGATGCACAGATGGGCGGTCTTGTTGCAAGCAGGGGGGTCTCGCTAGACACTTCGCTGGAGTGCACTATCCTGTCTTTGCGCGCCCCTTCTTACCCGCTAGAAAGAAGATTAGAAGTAGTTCCTTTTCAAGACGTGGCCCCCGCCTGAACGGCAGGCCCACGAGTTTGGCGTTTCAGGGGCGCACTGCTGGCAGTGGATCGGCGTGCGTGTGGAGACATGTGACGGAGGGACTTGAGACGGAAGGGCGCATTGCAGCATCGTTGTTGCATATGTTGTTTACTCGTGTGTTCCCTCCTCTTCCTCACCTTGGTCACCTCCTGCTGCTTACCGTCCATCCTCTCCCCAGCTCCCCCTCATCCTCTTCATCCTCCTCCTTCTCCTCCTCCCGCTCCCCTTCTGTAGCCGTTTTGGGTCAGGCCCACCGCCCCGTCGGTGAATGTGCTGTGAGCGTGCACCTGTGAGTGCTGGTGCCTCCCTCCCTTCATTTCCCATGCCAAGGCGTCGCCCCCCTATAAGCCGCGAGTCGCGCCATGCCCGAGCGAGAAAGCGTGGCGTTATTCAGCCCCTTCCCGGTGCTGGTTTTCGGTGGTTGGCCTTTCCGATGTGGTTGGAGCACGCGGCAGCCCAGGTGGCACATCCCATGGAACTTCACGCGATTGATGAGCGCGTCGCCGACAGTCCTCATCACTATGCCCGCGGGGCCGTTGCGATGCGGATTTGCCTTCCGCTGTTCGTCGCCAGCATATTCGTGTCCACCGTGTTGCCAATCGAGCCAAGCATCAAGCCGGTCATCCCCAACATGATGCGCGTGCTGTCGACATGGCTCTTCTGGGGTCAGCAACGCCGACTCTTGCCGCGCCGCCAGTTGCACGATCATGAACACCGACGAGAAGAGCTCCGCGCGATTATGCACGATCATGCACATGGTCATGCACGATCATGCGCGGTCATGATCATCCACGCGGTATTCATGACCATGCACGATCCTGCAAGGTCGTGACCACCGACGATCATAAACACCGATGAGCAAGATCATGACCATCGTTTGACACGGCTCCTCGCCGCGAACGGCCTTAACAAGTAAGAACTGAGCAAAGAAGCGGACGATCTACAGCGCCACCTCACAGCATTGGGAGCTGAACACCAGCTCTCCATCGCCAACATCGTTGAGAGCATGTCGCACAACTTCACGCAGTCCACGACGTTGGGGCAGCTGCACCAGCAGCCCTCCTACTCGATCGACCCGCAGGACGTGCCCAAGATCGAGCCTGATCTGGCGTTCTTCATGCTCCCTATCCTTTGGAGCGACGGCGCTGCGGAGCGCGCACGCACCGTCGGTAACAGCGACGAGCACGGGCCGCCCTATGTTAGCAGTGTAAATATTTGCCCCGCTCTGTCAGAGGGGGACGCCGCGGCGACTGCCAAGTACCGCGGCGACGATGGCTCCTCAGTCGTCCGGTTCGACACGCACGCCAACGACCTCCACGAGTTGAAGATGGATGTGCCGATGTTCGGTACGGTGCACGGCGACGATATGCTCCTCAGTGGTCCGCCTCGGCCCAAACGCAAGCGACCTCCACGAGTTCAAGACGGACGTGCCGACTTCCTGGGTCGGTCCTCTGGATTTGCCCAGTGCCACGAGTACGCGCGACCTTTCGATGGGCTGGCGACTGCCATTCGCTCGAGGACCCCATGACCGTCGCCAATTCTACGGCTACTCCGGCGACGACTCCACCATGTCCGATGAGACCCCGTCGGTGGTCGACATCAGCAACGAGCACGGCGACTCCAGCGATGCCGAAAGCACTGACCCCCTTAAGCTGCTCGCTGGCCGCGCGGGAGCCGCGGGCTGCGCCTTCAGGTGGCGCCCTGCATTTCTCCTTGCCGCACGCCGTCTCCCTCGTCCTTTCACGGTCCCGTTTTCTTCCGGTCCGAAACCCTCCCCTCTTCCCTAGAAACGAAAACGTACGTGCAACCGTGCGTTCGGCCCTACCGCCCACGTAGTTGCTCTGAGCGGAATCGTCCAATCGGTGTCGTTCGTTCCTCCCGCATCCGCCGTTTTTCCTGCGCTTTCCCCGCGGGTTATTTACCCTCCAGCCTTGGGTCTCGATTCGGTCGCCCCCCATTCGACCAGCCCTTCCCCAAGGGAGTTCCATCAATGTGAACCCGATCCCGACCCCCACGCGAATCTGAGCCGATCCTCCTGCTGCTGCACCTTCAACACACCTCCCAACAGGAGCTCGCGTTCGCAGGCGTGAACTTGATACCGTACAACCCCACCGTCGCGGGCGCCAGGGCTGGCTTCGAGGCGCCGACCGACGCTCACTGCAAGGCCCCCCCCCCTCCTAGCCCGCTTTGTGCATGCGGCCGTTCGACAGCATCGCGCACTATGAAGCTGCCCGCACGACGCAGGCATGGCCCTGGGCCGACGAAGGCATCATTTACACTTGGCATGCGTGCGTGCGTCTCTCCCGGCGTTCATCTTGTCAACTTGGCCCGCATCGTGAAAGTCAAAAGCCGAACTTTGGCGGGGCATGGCACTCGCGGCGGCCGCAAGGGAGAAGACAGGTTGTGTAGGTAGGAGAGGGAGAGAGGAAGGGAAGGGGTGAGGGAGAAACGGACGGAACAGTTGTAGGGGAAAGGCACGGCTGGAGGATGATACTGGGAGTGGGCGTAATTGTGTAGGGGTGATCTCCCAAATGTGCAGGATCTGACTTTGTGAAAATGCAGGGCGTGAATGCTCGTTGCTTAACGTAGGCTGCAATTGTGAATGCTCCTGCTGTTGCACTGCGCTGCCTTCCTACGGTTGCGCGCCTGCGTATGTGGTGTGGATTCGGCTCCTATGTTAAAAAGAGGGAACAACGACGGAAACGAGTTTGCCCTTTTGCGTTTGCACTGTTCCTGCTCGGGCGCACCCTTCGCAATTAGATTGCGCTCGACGTGCCCGTCCAGAGAAAGTACAGGCGAGGGAGAAGTAGGAGGAGGGAGAGGAAGCGAGGGGAGAGTGAGCGAGAGGATGAGGATCATGATGAGGAGGAGAAGGAAAATAAGAATAATAATACGGAACAGGACAATCAATTGAAGGCGGAGGGGGAGGGGAGAAGGAGAGGGAGTGATCAAGGCCCCCAATGTATTCATGATGGTGGCATGTACGGCTGGCGCTTCTTATGCTGCATTCGCATGGTGGATGGCGAATGTCCTTACGGAAGCCCACCATCTAGCCACATTCCGTCACTCCCTCCACCCGCCTCTCATCCACTCTTATTCGCCCTCCCTTCCTTTCCCCGCCCCTCCTCACCCCGCCGGCAGTAGAAGTTCAACAGTCGAGGGCTGATCCCCTCGCAAATGCTCCACCGTTGGCAGTCGGATCGTTTGATTTGCAACCAGTGCGCCCCGTTGCTCACTACGAGCCAGGATCTCAGTCCCAGCCTCCTCGTCCTCTACTCGCGGCTCTGTACTTGCTTTCGTGCTTTGGAGCGTGGATCCAGTAGAAACCATTATGAATACGAGCTTCTGACGAGATCGTGACATCTGGTGATATAGTACGACGAAGTCCTGCCGCCCTCTATTCGAAGCTCGTTCCTCCGACCAGATACTCTGTCAAGGCAAGGCGTCGCGAAGTACCAGTTCAGCACTCGATGCTCAATGTGGTCTGGCAGGTCAGAGTATCGCAGCAGGCGACTCACAGAAAAAAACACCACGGAGTTCTGATTGGTTCCTCCTAGCTTTCCCGCTCCCCCCCCCTCCCACAAGAGCCGACCCCCTGAGCTCTCCAGGAGCGGGTTTCGTGAGGAACCCGGCCGTGGCTGCGCGAGCCTCCCACGGGTCCAGACCAGGTATTGAGAGGCACCCGAAGGGCTCGATTCTCGACTGTTGAACTTCTACTGCCAGCACTGTCGATTCTTTTGCAGACGGAAGCGAGTCCACTCCTGCCTCTCCCCCTCCCGAGTTTGAGGGAAGCTAGCCGGAGATTCAGGGCATTCCGCTTACATCCGACGAAATTTCGGCCCCAGTGCAGAAGGCACGCGCGCCCCATTTGCCGACGCACGTACTGCACGTCCTATATGCGCCCTCCTGGGGCGTTCCAGAAAGGGCCTCCGAGGCATCGAGAGGCTGACGGCTCGTACCCACCGGAGGGCGGATGCTGGACTCCTTCGCCCCCGAGAGGCATCGATCGCCCTCGGGGGGGGGTCGACTCCCAGACCTGGCCAACTGGGCAGCGGCAGTGACGGGGTGGGCCCAGGACACGGATGCATCGTTCCAGAGCGTTCCGGAGCGCCCTCAGAACGCTCTGGAGCGCTCTGAGGAGGCCGCGGCGCCCGATGCATCCTCCAGCACCGCCGGACCCCAGAGATTCCCAGCCCGTCCCTGTCTGCTTCTGTCCCTGCCCTGGCTTCTCCTCCCTCCTGGGAGGAGGAGGAGGGGGAGGAGGAGGAGGAGGGGGAGGAGGAGGAGAGGAGAGGAGGAGGAGGAGGAGGAGGAGGAGGAGGAGGAGGAGGGGGAGGGGGAGGGGGAGGAGGAGAGGAGGAGGAGGAGGAGGAGGAGGACCGTCTGCTTCTGTCCCTGCCCTGGCTTCGCCTTCCGGGCGGGCAGGGGCCTGGACCCGTCCAGGAGCGAGGGCCCCCGCCCGCCGCTCCAGAGGCCGGGGCGAGGCCCGGGACAGCGGCCCCGGGCCAGGCCGCGGGGGAGCGAGGAGGCTGCGGGCCAGGGGCCCACATTCACATTCAGGAGGGGAAAGAACACACAGACACAATTTAGATTCAGAGGGGGCCCACATTTGCATTCGGGAGGGGCCCGCATTCACATTCAGGGGCCGGGCCAGGGGCCCGGCGGCCTGCCCACGTGCAGGAGGGGAAAACGCACACAGACACAATGAATCGCCCATCCCCCAGGAAGAGATGGGAAAAAATAGGGGAAGTGGGGGGGGAAGACAAACACACCCCGAAAATGTGGGAAACTACGGGGGGTACTTTTATTTGTGTGGATTTATTTGTGTGTCCCAGGGCCCCTTCACACATGCAGGGGGCCAGGGGCGGGGCCAGGGGCCCGACGAAGGGGGCCCGGCGGCCACGGCCACGGCCACGGCCACGGCCACGGCCACGGCCACGGCCACGGCCACGGCCACGGCCACCACGACTGCCACGAAACGAGGGTTCGGGGGGCTGGGGCGAGGCCCAGGGGTGCATGCGAGTGACCTTCGCATCCGATGCCCCTGTGGAGGTTGCCACCTGGGCCACTGCGCTCAGCGGAGGGCACCGCCTGGCGCGGTACGGCGGCCAGCCACACCAAAGAGCACGCTCAGAGAGCGTTCGGGGTAATAACAAAAACATGAGTGTCTGCATCCGTGTTGGCTTCCTTGTCTTTTCGGTCGGGAGGACGAGGAAGTGGAGGGGAAGACGAGCATCACGGGAAATGTAGGAAAACATGGAGGAGGAGGAGGGACGATGGGCGACGAGGAGGAGGAGGAGGAGGAGGAGGAGGAGGACTTGGAGGAATAGGAGGAGGAGGAGGAGGAGGAGGAGGAGGAGGAGGAGGAGGAGGCGGCGCGGACCTCCGAGGATCGATGGGGGAGGAGGAGCAGGAGGAGGAGAAGCAGGAGGAGGAGCAGGAAGAGCAGGAGGAGGAGAAGGAGGAGGAAAAGGAACAGAAGGAGGAGGACCCAGACGCCCGACGTCGTGGTTTTCTCAATGTGTACCCCGGAAGGTCTGGACCCATTCCCGTTGGACCAGCGTTTCGTCCGGAGTCGTTTTGTTGACGGTCCCGGGGCCTGGCGAGGGCCCCCTGAGGCCGAAAATTGCCAAAAGCCTCCCGCCGTGAGTTGGTTTTCAAAACGCGAGGATGTCAGGGCACAATCACAGCATCCATATTAGCTTGATCATCCTCTCCGACCGTGCAGGAGGAGGAACCGGAGGAGGAGGAGGAGGAGGAGGTGAAGGACCAGGAGGATATTGGGAGGAGCGCTGGCCATCGAGGGAGCGGGCGGAGGGGGGACAGACAGTGTAAGTGAGTGATAGGAGGAGACCGAGGAAGAGTAGCATAACGAGGAGGAGGGAGTGGAGCAGGAGAAATGAGAAGGAGAGCTCTTATTATTCTTCATCCTCATGCCTTGGTCATGATCAGGATCAGCATGCTCATCATCTGCATCATCATCAGCCTCATCCTCGGCATCATCCTCGTCATAATCATCCTCATCATCATCATCACCATCAACATCCTAATCATCATAATCGTCATCGTCGTCAGCATCGTCCCTGACATCATCACCAGCATCATCATAAGCAGCAGCATCTCATCATCCTCCTCATCGTCATCACCATCAATCATCATTAGCATCATCAGAATCATCATCCGAATCATTGATGCCATCGTCATCGTCATCATAAGCATCAGCATCAGCAGCATAATCCTGATCATCAGCATCATAATCATCATCGGCAGAAGCATCATCATCCTTACCCGTATCATGATCATGGTGATGACGATCATCATCATCAGCAGCATAGTCATCAGCATCATTGTCATCATCACCACCACCATCATCAGCATCATCCTCGTCCTCCTCACCTTCGCTCCTTCTCCTTCTCGTCATCATCAATGCCATCACCAGAACCACCATCATCATCTGCAGCAGCGTTGGCAGCATCATCAGCATCATGGTCATGACCATCACCAGCATCACCGCCACCACCGTCATCATCATCCTCGTCGGCGTCCTCGTCGTCGTCGTCATCATCCTCATCCCCGTCCTCGTCCTCATCCTCATCCTCAGCAGCAGCAGCACCCTTTGTAGCCGGCGCCGCCCGGTCACGGGGAGGCGGCGAGCCCGCCCCCCCGACGGAGGCCTTCCGGGCGAGGCTCCGGCGCGCGGGCGTGGGCAACGCCACCGTGCGCTTCTCCACCAAGCTGGGCCGCCGCTGCGGGGCCGCGTGCGGGCAGCTCGGCCTGCGCGGCCACTCGCCCTTCGAGGGGCAACATCGAGCAGCAGCAGCAGCAGCAGCAGCAGCAGCAGCAGCAGCAGCAGCAGGCCGAGGAGGATGAGGAGGAGGAGGAGGAGGCGATGCTGGTGGAGGAGGAGGAGGGAGCAGGAGAGGAGGAGGAGGAGCAACAGGGGGATGAAGAGGAGGATAAGGAGAAGGAGGAGGACACGGAGGGGCAAAATCCAGGAGGAGGTGGAGGCGATGCTCCTCTTGTCCCCGCACCCCAGGAGTTCGGAGCCCTAGCTGCCCCCGCCGCTGGAGAGATGTTGCCGGTCGTGCTCTTCTTTTCTGTCCCACGGGTAACTTCGGTTGATGACGACCCCCCGCCGAAGGCGGCCACCCCTGGGGTGTGGGATGGCAGACAACCCCCTCCCTCCAGGGGGCTTCCGCCCCTGGGGCTAGGTCGGGCATGTCCCCCTACAGGCCGATCTTCAACGAAAAACACAACATACCCAAAACATGCCCCAAGATGTTTTTACCAAAAAATCGAACAAATCGTCCCCAGGCTATTCTTCCTGTGGAGGGACAGGCCCGATTTAACCCTGGGGGGTGGGATGGCAGCGTCCAGGCACAAAACAGATGCCGACAGCGACAACGACAGGAGGCGATGCTGCGTCGGGCAGAATTTTGTACCAGGAGTGTGAGGCACTCGGCAAGCTAGTTACGTATCTCCCCGGGGGAGAAGAAGTCATCAGGGGGGAGCTGGCGGATGACCCCAGAGAGCACACACACGCACACACACAGACTCACACTCACACGCACGCAAGACACCTCGTGAGAAGCGGCTTCAAGTCTTTGTTGCGCATGGAGGCGCAGACGCAGCTCTTGATTGAGAACGGTACTCGGCAGTTTAGGGTGTTCATCCAACAGGCGTTCTAGCTTAACACCGGCTTCAACTTGCCACGAGCTCCACCACCGAGAGCAGTCGAACTGTTGTCTTTGTCGCAATATGGTGGCGCAGATCGACGTCTCTCGCCAGATTCGGCTTCTCTCGCTGTGGGGGGAAGGGCGGGCCATTTCGCCGTTTCAGCTGTTTCGGCGCTCCTGGCGGGGATTCGGGGCCCCCGTCTCGCTTCCACCTGACTGACGGAACATCTGCCCAGAGGGGAGGGAATGTGGGAAATGGGGGAAGGGGAGGAGGAGGGACGAGGGGGAAATGGGGGGAAGTGGAGGAGGAAATGGGAGGGACGAGGAGGAGATGGGGGAGGGGGAGGAGGAGGAGGAACGAGGAGGGACGGGAATGGATTGTGGCGTGCTGCCTCCCGTGGAGGAGGAAGTGGGGGAAGGGGAAGAGCAGGGGCTGGGCAGGCGGAGAGGGAGGGCGAGCCTGGACTCCGAGGAGGAGGGTCGGATCGGACAGACCCGTCGGTCGCTGAGAGTGGGCATTGTTGGATTCACGGATCCCAGTATGCTGTAGGCGCCTTCCTACTCTGATAAACGAGCGTGTTTCCCTTCCCCTTCCTCTTTCGGGGGCGGAAAAGAGGGGGTGCTGACTAGGGGGGGGTGGATATCATGGCGGGGGCCATGATATTTCCCCAGATTTCGTGGCGCCTCTTCTCATTTCATTACGTCCCTGGCCCCCCCGCTGGGCCGCGCACATGCCGCCGGTCATGATTTGCACCCCCCCCTCTTGGACACCCCCCTCTTGGCCGCTCCCGGCTCTTGGGGGGGCGGGCGGAAGCCCAATCTACTTCCAGAGCCTTCCCACGTCATGTTCCTGCCCGCTCCTGCCGACCGACGGGTAAAGGCGCATCGTCGGCCTGTGCGGAGAATCGAAAGCAGCAGTGGGAGGCAGATGCCTGCGACAGCTGTGCTGAATTACGTGGGATCCACATCCGCCGGGTCCCGGCTAGCTCACAGATTGAGTGTTGGCATTGGGAAACTCGCCACTCGAGGCCCCCCGAAGAGCCAGGCCAGGCGAGGTGGACCATAGACAAAACTATGCTCTCGACGTCACTGAGAATATACATCATACGCCAGGCCCTTGCTAGCTCACAACCTGTAGGTCAGCAGACAGAGTACCGACATAGTGAGTCTAGCAATTCTACGCCTCTCAAAGAGCAAGGCCAGAAAAGATGGACCGTTCAAACCAGCATGGGAGCGAAGGAGGAGCCGAAAGGGGGAAGCCAGCAGAAAGCGGGCGAGTGGGTGCGACCCACGACGACGGAGCGTGATTGGATACAGCACATGCAATAACTTGCGACTCGAGTGGGCTGCACGGGCCAAAATGGCGTGGTGCAGCAAGTGCCGTAGTTCACGAGCTGTTTTGGTGACCGCCCATGGGCGGCTCTGCCGCCCATGGGCGTAGTCCGCGTAGGCAAGCAGCAGCTCCATAAAGATGACCAGCACCACACATTACTCCGCCGTATGGCTGAGCTTGGAAGCTGCTGCCTGCGTCAGGAACGCGCTGCCATAGCGGAAGGGGTGGTCCTCGTAGGTGCCCCGCGGCCCCCAAGAAGATGCTTGGTTTTTCGTAGCACTCCACCGTGTAGTGGAGCTGGGACGCAGCCGCCTGAGCCAGGGACGCGCTGCAGTGGCGACAGAGGTTGTCCTCGTAGGCGTACGACAGCCCCGTGGGGATGCTTTGCTCCTCGTAGCACTCCGCCGTATGGCTGAACTTGTATGTCGTCGCCTGCGCCAGGGACGCGCTGCAGTAGCGGAAGAGGTAATTCTCGAAGGTAAACGTCGTTCTTGTGGAGACGTTCTACACTTCGTGGCATTCCGCCGTATATCTGAGCTTGGGGACGCCGTCGCTTTTGCCAGGGACGCGCTGCGGGGGGCCCTCGCAGGCGAACGTCGGCCCTGCGAACCTGCTCTGCACCGCGAAGCACTCACTGCATGGCTGAGCTCGGACGCAGCAGACTGCGCCAGGGACGCGCTGCAGTCGCGCAGAGGGGCCGCTCTCGTAGCCCCCGTGGCCGCCTGCGCGGCCGCGTGTGCGAGCGGGCGCCTCGCCCGGGGGCGCGGCGCGCATGGGCTCGAGCCGAGGAGTCACAGTGTGCCGAGAGCGGGCAAGATGGCTGAGACTACGGCTTCGGCCAGGAAGAGGAGGAGGACGAGGAGGAGGAGGACGAGGAGGACGAGGAGGAGGACGAGGAGGAGGAGGACGAGGAGGAGGACGAGGAGGAGGAGGAGGAGGAGGACGAGGAGGACGAGGAGGAGGAGGACGAGGAGGAGGAGGAGGAGGAGGAGGACGACGACGACACCGACGACGACGAGGGCGATGAGGACGCGCTCGGCGGGCCCCTCGTTCCCCCTTTCCTCGGCGGGCGCGGAACGGTGCAGCATACATTGTCCGCGTTCGGGGGGGGGGGGGGGGGGGGGGGGGGCCATCCCAGGGCGGCTGGAAAGTTGATACCCCCTATCGGGCCGGGCGAAAGGGGGGGATTGGGAAAGGGGGGTTACGAAATCTGCTGCATGCAGCTGGTTTCGGCCTCACCGAGGGGCCCATTCCTCGATACATAGCCGCCTCCGGCGCCGGGAGGCG